AATAAATATTCAAAGTTGTGTATAAACGTAATAGGCGTGAATAAATTGCGAACGCCGGGACAGGAAGTATGGAGTGCCGTCCGGCACGACCGACTCTCGGAACTAAAATCCCTCGCGTGAAATGGTTCGCATTTTCCATCAAACGCGTTCGACGTTCGAATGTCTGGGAAACAAAATCACATTAGGCCCGATGACAGTCGACAGTCTAGTTACACACCTACACCGCAATTTTGTCACATTATAACGTTATATAATGTGGCTATTCGAAGATACCGAGATTTTCGGATTGCCACCGTCTTTGGCTCGTTATATCAAACCAGAAAATAATACTTTGAAATAATATCAGTTACTAACCCACGGTGTCGGTGATTAGAAGTTATCACGCCCACAATTGGCGCTCTACCCTCGTTTCGATGACGTCACCGGTTCTCCGCAGCAGGTTCACTCTATGTCTATGAGATTGTCATGCGCATGCGTCAGATGGCCATAGCGTGTCATTGTTTACAAACAAGCGTCTACCAATGAGCCTTTGCGATTTTTACGTGTGTTGTTATCGTCAGTCGCGTGGGACTGAGGTGACGACCCTTCCGCTTTAAATAATATTTTTTTGATATTTCTGTTATTATTCACCGTTGATAAACACTATCTTTGGCACAGTGTCGTTCATATTCATACTTTTATTAATGCATGTTAACAATGCTACCACTAAATGACATCTAGATGACGTCACGTGGTCTACTGTACGCGACATTTTGTACAAATGATATGACGAAATGTATACACTTGTTTACTTGCAGGTATCGCTGGCCGACATCACTTTTGTAACTTTTTATGAGATGTTTTCGAAGTCGGTAGAAGGCGCTCTAGATAAGTACCCGAAGCTGAAGAGCTTACAAAGTCGAGTTCTCGCTTTGCCCAAGATTGCTGAGTGGGTCAAAAAGAGGCCAGAAAGCCAGTTTTAATATTGAACAAATATTGTTATTATTTAGATGATTACCACAGTCGTATTTTACAATTTTCTTTCAACAGAATGCATTCAAATGTTATAAATAGTACTCATTCATTATACTTTATTTATTTCTTGTATTTCTCACATAATATGTAACAAATGTGTGGGCGTACAAATCGACGGTTTGTGGTTGGCTGAGAGTGCCATTGGATTTGTTGTACTTTAAAGTTCATTTCAGGTCTCAAAATTCAATTTAATAGACCTAGAGTTGGTGTAATATAATGGCAATAAATCACCACGAATCGGTAAACTTCTTGATTGTGCACAATCCACTTCACACACGTGCGTGGGTTGTGAATTGTGCAAATTCTCGTGATACATCCGTCTTTGTTCGTGGTTTAATGCCTGAAAATATTCAATTTTAAAACGGCATTTTTACAATAAAATCAGCAGTCTAATTGTGACTACTGTGGTATTCGTTGCATATATATTTGTTTTTATATGAGTACTTATTGGTATTGCATCCAGCTTCCTTTGAGAATATTCAATCTTACAATACTTGTGGATTATTTTAATAATATTTTACAGTCATTAAAGCGACACGTTGTACAATTATGCCAGTCCATAACATTAAATATTATATTCAATGACTTTCCGAATAATTTAATAAAACTCCAATACGGAGATAGTACAAGACTATTGTTGTGATGACTATTGTTATTTTCTATTTAGCAATTTAAAATGGGGCGAGTGGGTATGAGCCGGTAGAGGATACTTTGAATCTTAGAACTAAACAGTATGTGTAATTGGTATACACTGAATGTGTTGGAATTAACTGTACAATCACGTCCCCGATATTTTGCACGTCAAACAATAATGTTTCACAATCGTACGCTGCACGTGCTCAATCAAATAATTTTTACATCAATACCAGTACAATTATACAACAGATTACCCGACGGGCTTTCCAGTGGACTAAATGTGGAATCTGCTCGAAATGGCGGCTTTTAACGATTCAAAACCATTTGATGAAACTTTCGAGGTTTTGTTTGTACGTATACAACATATTTGTCCTGAACGAGCCGACATGGAGATTAAACATTATTATCACATGCACAAGCGAAGTTATTCAAAGGTATATTAAGCTGTGTATGGGAAATTGATCAGACTGAGTAAACATGTTTCCGACCAGGTCATCGCCCCACGGAAAACGTCAAAATGGACAAATTGCATTATACTCCTACGCCTCGTGTAATTGCCCGGCAGAAGCAATTGAGAATTTAATGCAGTATAGTACAGTTAAAGATATATATTATAACTGTAAACACATTTTAAAAAGAGCCATTATTCGTCATTCATTACTTGTCAGACAAATATTTAGCTTTCTGATCAGCACTCAACATGAGTCCAATAATTCCACCAAAATTATAATAATCAAATATTCACCACTTTTTGTATTGACATAACATGTCTAGAGGAAAAAATCCAAAAGAATAAGTAAAAAATGTACTGTAAACGTATTAATGTAATCGGTATTTAATTTTGTTGTGTTTGCTTGTGTAAAATTCGCTAAATTAAATCCACAGGAACATGTTTAATAACAATAACTCATTGTTTCTCTGACGTATTCGTGAATTTAAAACTCGATGAAAGTGATCAAAACATCGAAGTAGTGAAATTAAACTTTCACAGTTTTACAGTACCCGTATATAACGATACGTACATACAATATGGAATAGTGCATTGTAAATACTATTCAATAATATAAACAAAATACCAAACATGTAGATTAAAGCGCGGTAGTCGTCGCGCTGCGCATGTGCGAGATATATGGGTTCCATATAAACAAAGATGGCGACTTTGACTGTTGCACAGATCAACGAGTACGGACTCAGACGTTTCCACGCTTTAATTATGTAATTTGCATAAGCTGGAAGGTATCGAAAGAGTTACCGGTGGTAATCAGTGCAAATCGCGCCCAGATCAAACCTCATACTTGTGATTTCCATTTGAAGAGCGCATTGGATTGGGGGAAACTCCATGTTTATCAACACAAATGTCGCACATGCGCAGCGTGACAACTACCGCACTTTAAATTACGCTCGTCCGGCATTGCAGCTTCACACGCCTGCTCAACAAGTTAGTTAACACACGCAAATAATTTATAAAAATATGTGAAACTTCAAGCTCCTGAAATTTAGAGAGTAAACAAACGGTCGAAAATACCATCTAGGTTCTAATCCCTGTAAATTATAATCAGATCTAATGTAACGAGAAAGACAATTGCAATGCTGGCACAGCAAAGTACTATTATAAAGTAATGGTCGTAAAATGTCAATAGTCTGTCTCAACAATTCGTTTTCATGGGAACGATCATATCTAAACAATGTCGTGTGATAAAGTGATTGTGTAAATGTATGCGAACACACAGCAATTTAAACTTGCTTTTCTAAGTGCCAGCCTTCATGTTGCTTATCATGTAAAACGTTATCATGATATGCGTTTTTATTTAAAAAAAAAATTAGTTATGAACGAGTATTCTCGTTATGTTCTTATCAACATGCAGGACATTTGCACATTAACCATTTTTGTTTAACATCTACAATTGAACAGATAGTCTGAGCGACTGCTCACACAACCACTGTGTCGATGAAACATATTCATACTGTGACATCATTGGCGATGGCACCGGGGCAAGAGCGGGCGAAAGCCCACCCACAAAATGTTGCCATCATTTATATTCGTCATTGCTTGTTGGTGTTTCGTACACGAAATGAATTTAAAAAACGTACTTCGTATAAAATATCTTGACATCAAAACTTTAACGAATTTTAAGAAAGTTAAAAAATTCAAAATACACATATCCCACGATGGAATATAACGATCCAATTATACATACCTAGAGATTTAGGTTTTCGACATCAAGTGATGTGTCAAGTGATATAACTGTAGAAATTTAGACTGTCGCGGGCAATTTGCCACATGATATAAGCCCGAGCTCGGTAGTTTTGTTACCGAAATGCATAGGTTCTTATCAATGACCTAGGGCAAGCTGATCTTGGTTACATCTAAAACTCGACCCCTTAGTTTACTGATTTTCAATCTTCTTAAGGAGACTTGTGATTCTCCTACCATATAGCGATAATTTTGAAAAGTATCATATTAATATGCTTTCTAGCACTTCGGTGATCAATATTAGGTCTTAAGAATTCAGATGAATTGCTAGCATTTATTTTTTATTGAAAGAAAATCGTAAAACCGCGTCTGTGAATGAACCTCGTCCATTGTGGTTGACACGGGGTCACAGACTAACACGTGACAACAGGCAATGAATTGTAACACTGTACTAGAATCCTGTCAGAGCGAAAATCCCAATATAGAATAACGTCCTACAATTTATTTTGCGATAATATGTTATCACTGTGTTGCGTTGGTTGTATTGGCGAATATATTGGCACAGTTGTTCACTCTTCAGCGTCCCAAGTAACCCATCTGTAACGGTGTATTGATATATTCCATTTCGCAATGTTTACTTGTTCGGTCGATGCAGCCCACAGTCGTTTCTGGACTGATGTCTACCAAATTTTGCCAGTAAGTTAGTTTTATCATCACCGATAGCACTATGCTCAAAAAACGACGTTTGGTGATGATCGCCGAAAACCAGTCCGTCGTTATAATACCTGACATAAGTAGTCGTCTCATCTCGTGTCGGGTCTGGTTTTACGCACCCTACAAAATACCATTCACTGTTTTTGTAGTACACTCGTTCGAATTTGTGAATTGAAGTTTCAGAGAGTAACTCACGTCACATAACACAGGCACGCATACATACATAACAGACTTATAGGAACGCTGCCCGTGTTTAAACGCCAATGAATTGAAAGTGGAGTGGATTGTGATCAGCTGACGATCGACCTGGATAGCAACAAATGAAACAGGGAAAAGGTCACAGGTTCGCGAAAGCCCGCATTGATTGTCCTTTCTGTCGCAATCATGCCAAGTTACAAGCCTTACTACTTTAACGTCCGTGCCCGTGCTGAGCCAAGTCGTCACATTTTTGCTGCTGCTGGTGTGGACTATGAAGATGTGAGAATTGAGAGAGAAAAGTGACCTGAAGAAAAAGCTAGTGGAAGTAGGTGAACAATAATGTTCCAGTCTCTATGTGCTTCTTACTGGTACCTGGTTCGAGAGTGCGGAACTAAATTGATTATGTATGTAGTCTTTATTTATTTTTTCTAATCCTAACTCGAACTTGACGCCTATCCCCTACTTCCCTCTTACATGATTGTATATGCCCCTCTTTAGGAAACCTATACATTAACTAGAGGGACATATACAACTGAATTGAGGGGCTGGAAGGTTAGGGTAAAGATTGGAGGTACATCGGAAAGTCTTACTTAGTTATATAACTTAGGTTTATTGAAAAACTTAAAATTCCTCAGAAGGAATTAAAATGGTTACACTAACTGCTAAAACACATATATAAAACATACAAAATTTACAAGAATTACTGTCTAAAGCACAACAATGGTTTAAAAAATAAATCAACAGACTACAATTACAAAAAAATATATTGATATATGTTGGTAATAATATTGAAAAAAAATAGATGAAATAATAATAATAAAAAAGCAATAAACAGTAAATCAATGAAAGATGGAAAAGAGAAAAAAACGTATTAAAGGAGAAAGGTATTTATGTTAATTTGCCAGAAGATGTTGCTGTCTAAGGTTCGTGTTATTTTTGATAAATTGGGCAACTGCTATTTGTACATTCAGATTTGTATCACCCATTAATTTTAAAAATTTGTTGTAGTCACTCATATTCATGAAATTTATAATGTGCTTAGTAGTCTCTTTAAATAATGCTTTCCGCGATTTTTCGTAAAAGGGGCATTCAATCATCTTCTACTTTGTTATTTGAACACAGTTCGCAGATTCTTTTTTCCTATTTCGGTTTTTGGTTTGGTGTACCTCCCTGTTTCAATTTTTAGTTTATGATTGCTCAGACGGA